GTACTCATCTTTGGATCAGAGCTTCATTAAAAACACTCCTCAGAGAAAATGAACAGCATTTGTGTGGTTATGGTTTACAAGTCTCATTTATTTGCTGGAGTTTGGAGAGCAGGTGAATATGATATGCAGAGTCCTGCAGCTACTTTGAATTAAGAAATTTGTTTCCTCTTGTGACATAAACATATCACATTCATAACATTATTTGACAGATAAGCCAGCAGACATTTTCCAGAGTATGACAGAGTAAAACATGTTTTTTGTGCTCTTGTATGTTGATGCTTGGAGAAGAAAACAAGTTTTGTTCTTTTTGTTTAGAAAAACAACAAAAAACCTTCAAGTTTGTCATCCAAATACAAAAACACCAACTAATCATTAATTTAATTTTCTATTTTAAGATAATCTGTGTTCCATCTGCCCTTTTTAAACATGTAGAGGGAGCTCTATGCAAACTCTTCCCTCATTACAAACATCATCAGCAGCTCCAGTGGCTGATGGCTCCAAGTTTTTCTGTATGTCTTCAAACATCTGCAAACACTGAAACCATTCAAAGTCTTGTATATAAACCAGCAGCATCACACTGAAGTTTACATACTATTTACATGACCCTGGCTGTCACTTTATTTCTGTTTGCAGCGAATACAATATGTGAGCGAATAAATGCATAAACTAATGCTGTAGTAAAACGCTGTGCTCATACTTTAATCAGGAATATGGTGTCATATTCAAAGTCTGTTGTAATTAATTTACACTGTAAACAAGGCTCATAGAAAGCAACATTCTGGTTGCTCTTTTGTTTCATTAGGTGCACATCAGCATTGTTATTACAATACTGATTTTAATAAATATATTTTCCATTATCCATGATTTATGTTCACATCAAGAATATCAATAATGATCAATATAGTTGTTGCAGTTATACAACTGACACGTTTTAATACATTAATACAATACAAACACATAGACATTGATCATTAATACACTTGAAAAGTTTACAGTTGATTAATTTCTGTAACTCTAAATGTGAAGTCTGATTTTCATAATGTTACAGTTGAGTGTGTAATAAAGTTAAAATAACATATGTAAAGCAGAGGTGATTTCCAGGCATGTTTTCACTCTGCAGATATAATAACAGATAACAGACTCTTCTATTGGCTCCAGTTAGACCAACATTGATGCTTCATATGTTTGATTCTATGCAAACTCAGTGACCTTCCTTGTTACTCAGCTATAAAAACTTCCCATCAGGCTGTCAGTGGAGTTCACAGCACGTCAGTTTCAACATAAACCATGTTCTCTGTAGCTCTGCTGCTGCTGTTGGCAGCTGGATGTGAGTCTCTCTGGATTTGTCAAAGTCAACAGTTCTTCTTTTGCAGTATAACTTGATCATTTGTTACAAAACTGTCACGACCCGCCGGCCGTGACCCTGGCCTCCTTCATGGTATGTGCGTGAATGTAGTTTTTGTGTTCTTTTTCTCCCTTTTGGTGTGCCTGCTGTGTGCTTGGTGTGTTTTGGTTTGGCATCCGTCTCTGTGTTTTGCTCTCTCCCTCATGCTCTGGAAGCCACTGGTGGGCGTGGTCGCTGGAGCTCCTGCCTACAAACCTGCGGCTCATCACACCACTCCAGCACACCTGTTCCTCATCCTACAATCAACTCACCTTTAAAAGCCAGGCCGACCTTCCATTCCCTGCTGGATTGTTGAATCAGCTAGTATGAGAACATGCCAGCCAACCTGAACTTGCACTCAGTTTCTTGGAGTCTTGTGAAATACCTGTTGCTAACTCGCTCTTTCCCCTGTCTCACCTCAGACCGTCTTACCCTGAGCCTTGACCCAGTTCTGCCTGCCAGCACCGCAAGACCTAGCACTGGAGCTCGGACCCCATTCCCACTCTCTGACTCATCAGAATCTCCAGCCACTCAAACCACGTTCTGTTTGTGCAACTCAAATAAATTCACCTTTATTGAAACTTCAACTCTGGTCTGCGTCTGAGTTCTGGTCACTGGTCCTGACACAAAACATTTTTCTAACAGGTGTGAAGTGTGAACAGTTGACACAGCCAGCCTCTGTGACTGTGCAGCCAGGTCAACGTCTGACCATCACCTGTCAGGTCTCTTATTCTGTTAGCAGCTACTACACAGCTTGGATCAGACAGCCTGCAGGGAAAGGACTGGAGTGGATGGGGCCTCATTTACTATGATGCCACAGACAAATGCACACAGCCAGTATTCAGAAACTGTGCCTTTCAACCAACTGTCAGAACTTCCATAAGGTTGTGATTAAACTATACAGTCGCCACCATCAGCCATGCTCCCAGTGAGTGAGTACAGTGGGTACGGAAAGTATTCAGACCCCTTTAAAATGTTCACTCTTTGTTTCATTGCAGCCATTTGCTAAAATCAAAAAAGTTCATTTTATTTCTCATTAATGTACACTCAGCACCCCATCTTGACAGAAAAAAACAGAAATGTAGAAATTTTTGCAAATTTATTAAAAAAGAAAAACTGAAATATCACATGGTCATAAGTATTCAGACCCTTTGCTGTGACACTCATATTTAACTCACATGCTGTCCATTTCTTCTGATCCTCCTTGAGATGGTTCTGCTCCTTCATTGGAGTCCAGCTGTGTTTAATTAAACTGATTGGACTTGTTTAGGAAAGGCACACACCTGTCTATATAAGACCTTACAGCTCACAGTGCATGTCAGAGCAAATGAGAATCATGAGGTCGAAGGAACTGCCCAAGGAGCTCAGAGACAGAATTGTGGCAAGGCACAGATCAGGCCAAGGTTACAAAAGAATTTTTGCAGCACTCAAGGTTCCTAAGAGCACAGTGGCCTCCATAATCCTTAAATGGAAGAATTTTGGGACGACCAGAACTCTTCCTAGACCTGGCCGTCCAGCCAAACTGAGCAATCGTGGGAGAAGAGCCTTGGTGAGAGAGGTAGAAGAACCCAAAGATCACTGTGGCTGAGCTCCAGAGATGCAGTAGGGAGATGGGAGAAAGTTCCACAAAGTCAGCTATCACTGCAGCCCTCCACCAGTCGGGCCTTTATGGCAGAGTGGCCCGACGGAAGCCTCTCCTCAGTGCAAGACATATGAAAGCCCGCATAGAGTTTGCCAAAAAACACATGAAGGACTCCCAGACTATGAGAAAGAAGATTCTCTGGTCTGATGAGACCAAGATTGAACTTTTGGCGTTAATTCTAAGCGGTATGTGTGGCGAAAACCAGGCACTGCTCATCACCTGCCCAATACAATCCCAACAGTGAAACATGGTGGTGGCAGCATCAGGCTATGGGGATGTTTTTCAGCTGCAGGGACAGGACGACTGGTTGCAATTGAAGGAAAGATGAATGCGGCCAAGTACAGAGATATCCTGGAAGAAAACCTCTTCCAGAGTGCTCAGGACCTCAGACTGGGCCGAAGGTTCACCTTCCAACAAGACAATGATCCTAAGCACACAGCTAAAATAACAAAGGAGTGGCTTCAGAACCTCTGACCATTCTTGACTGGCCCAGCCAGAGCCCTGACCTAAACCCAATTTAGCATCTCTGGAGAGATCTGAAAATGGCTGTCCACCAACGTTCACCATCCAACCTGACAGAACTGGAGAGGATCTGCAAGGAAAACTGGCAGAGGATCCCCAAATCCAGGTGTGAAAAACTTGTTGCATCATTCCTAAGAAGACTCATGGCTGTACTAGCTAAAAGGGTGCTTCTACTCAATACTGAGCAAAGGGTCTGAATACTTATGACCATGTGATATTTCAGTTTTTCTTTTTTAATAAATTTGTAAAAATTTCTATATTTCTGTTTTTTTTTTTCTGTCAAGATGGGGTGCTGAGTGTACATTAATGAGAAATAAAATGAAAATTTTTGATTTTAGCAAATGGCTGCAATGAAACAGAGTGAAAAATTTAAAGGGGTCTGAATACTTTCCTTACCCACTGTATGTGTTGGGCAGTTACTCCCTGATAAACAGAACTAAATAAGAGTTATTTTACTGTTACAAATACAGATAAGAGTCACACCACAGATCATAAATGGCATTTTCTTGTTTTTTATTCTAGTCCTCTACTTTACATTAATTATTTTTTTAAATTGTACCATCATATAGTATTTGTTTCTCATAGACAGTTTCTGGTTTTAGTTTGTGTTATTGAAAAATGACAGAAAAAAAACTTTTCAACTCTTGAAGACAATTCAAATTAAGTATTAAATTCAGATTTGCCTGAATCAGATTTATTTGGCTGATGTCACAACTCCTACATTATCGTTTCTCAAGTGCAACAAACTAAAGACAAAACTCTGTCCTCCCTGTGAGGTGGAGTCAATGCAGAATGTAGTTGTCTTCCACCTTTAATTATCTGACTGCAGACAGTGACAAAGCTTTTAGTTTTTACTGCAACTTTTGTTTTACACAAGGTAACAGAGTTTATATGTCTGAGTGGACAATTTATTTCTATTGACTGAAAACTGTTCTCAGCAGTTTTAAAAATAAAATAAAATAATAAAATAAAAATAATTGAAAAAGTGAAAGGAATACAACATGGTTCATTATAATACAGAAACATAATATCTAACATAAAGCGGATTTTACAAAACATGTCCTCTTAGTCTGCCTCAAAAATATAAATTATGGAATAAGTTACATGTCATTCCTGTATTTAATGCTAATTAAAATTCTTAAATGTATTATCACTATTATTGATACCCAGGTTTTGCACAAATTATATTGAAACATGCAAGAGGGACTCTTGGAGGAATGACTAATGTACAGTAAACATTCATTCTGCAGTTTCACCAAACATCAACTGAGATCCAAGTCAAATCCAGTTCCACACTGTGAGGAGGAGTCAATGCAAAACTCAGATGTCTTCCACCTCTACTTATCTGACTGCAGAGAGGATGACAGAGAACAGTGGACACACAGTTTAACATGATGGACTATAGGACAGGACTGCTGCTGTTAACTATCTGCTGGGCAGGTAGACATCTTCACTGATCTTTAGTTGACATATTTTCATTTTGTGCTGCCAATGTAACACATGACATGAACAGCTTTCTTTGTTTGACAGGTGTTGATGGTCAAACTCTGACAGAATCTGAAACAGTGGTTAAAAGGCCTGGAGAATCTCACAGATTGACCTGTACAGCCTCTGGATTTAACTTTGCTGGCTACTGGATGGCCTGGATCAGACAGGCTCCTGGAAAAGGACTAGAGTGGATTGCTTATATCAGCAGTGGTAGTGGTAGCAGCAAATACTACTCTCAGTCAGTTCAAGGCCGGTTTACCATCTCCAGAGACAACAGCAGACAGCAGCTGTATCTGCAGATGAACAGTCTGAAGACTGAAGATTCTGCTGTTTATTATTGTGCTCGAGACTCACAGTGACACAGGAAGGAGCAACGCTGTACAAAAACCTCCAGTACTTATCTTTATTGGGCTTTTTTCTTTTGTTGTTGTTTTGAAAACTGAAAGATTATTATTAACCACCAACATAAATCATTAAAAAAATAAAATGTTTTAATGATCAGTTCCTCACAAAACATCCAAGTGCAGCACAACAATCAGTTGAAATCATTCAATCAAAAAATGTACCAAATAAATATTACATGTACACATTTCAGGCATATTGATTAACCCTCATCCGAACATATCAGGAGTACTGACTGGGGTCTCTTTGGAGCCAAGAATAGACTACTGCAAGAGACAGCCAGAAAAATTTTAACTTTCTTTTGAAAACATTAGTTATGCAGTTAATGTCATCTGAAAAGAAACAGATAATTATTATTTTGGGAAAGCTACAGTTAACTGGCATATTGGGTATTACTAAAGTGATACTTTAAATCAGAACCCATGGCACAAATTAAGTTAAAAATAACATAAAATAACATAAATATATACAATGAATAATATGAAGTCAATAAATAAAAATTGATTAATAAAATCATGAAAAATTGGAATGATAGAATAAAGCCCCTTTGAGATATGACAACAATTTTACCTCTTGGATCAGTGGGATTTAAGGTTAAAGTTTATATGATTTGGTTAAGTCAAAATTATGAGAGTGAAAAATAATGTTGCAGTTCCCGTTATAAAAACACTAGATAGCAGTCAGTGTCAAGTTTCTCTCTCCTCTGTCACTATAAGGAGACTCTCATATCTGCTTATCTCACTGATCTCAACTGACTGACACTCAAACGCTGGACTGAACTAGAGTTTTATACTCACACCCTTTGATAAACAGCTGGAAGACTGAAAGAGCGACTGTTTATTCATTCATGCGTGAAATGATATTCTTATATCATGACACAAATGACATCATAAACGACCAATGTGTGGGATTAAGTGGCATCTCAGGTAAGAAAAACACAACAATTCTTATTTTCAGGTGATTATACATAAATAAAAACACACCTATGGATATTATGTTCCATTTCTGCCAATAGATCCTTCTAAATGTTAAACACTGGACCTTTGAAAAAAGTTTTAATATTAATGAAGATATATAATCAGTAGCAATATTTGATTATTTGTATATTGCATTGGACAGAGGCATTCATACATTTATTCAAATGTTACAAAAAGACTTACAGTAAAACAAGGATAATGATAACATTAGGTTAAATAATAGAAGGAAATATACTTAATACTTAATATTAAAAAAACACGCTCAGTCAGGAGAAAGCCAAAATATCAAAATAAGTTTTTAGGAGACAGTTCACGCTGAAGTGAAGATACTGAGAAAAGGCGAAAGACTGAACATCTTTATTTTTGGTGTTTCTGTTTCTCTCTCTGATTCCAGCACTCCTCCTTCTCTCACAGATTTAGTCTTTATGTATCAACACTGTAACTCCAAAATGTCTGACTGGTAAAATGCAAATTCACACACTGATACACAATCCCCACCCATTCTGGCTGCACAATATATATCCTTCATAATAACCTTTGCAGTCGCAGACTCAGCCAAGTTCCCACCATGACAGCTGTACAAAGTCTCTTCCTCTTGGCTCTCATTTCAGGTGAGTGAAGTCGGTGTCCAGCTGAGGAGGAGAAAATGAGCTTTGGATGTCTGTTGGCTTCCCATCATCTAAACTCTGTGTCTCTTTCAGCTGCTCAGGGTCAGTCCCTCACCTCCTCAGAGCCAGTGGTCAGCAGAGCTGGAGAACCAGTCACTCTGTCCTGTAAAGTGGAAGGACTCACTCTGGCTTGGCTGCACTGGATTCGTCAGAAACCAGGGAAAGGACTGGAATGGATCGGACGCATTGATAGCGGAACTGGCACAATATTTGCCCAAAGTCTCCAAGGCCAGTTTTCCATCACCAAAGACACCTCCAAAAATCTTGTGTCCTTAGAGGTGAGGAGTCTGAAACAAGAAGACTCTGCAGTTTATTATTGTGCACGAGAGCCACAGTGACACACCAGACTGCAACGCTGCACAAAAACTGAACAACACTGATCCCTGTGTGAGAAGCACTGAAGCATGTCAGCCCTTTGACAACAGTTTACCACTGAATGACTGATTATCACTGAAATATATTTATTAAATAAAAAACAGTTTGCCACTGAATGATGGCCAATCACCAATGAAACATATTTCATCATAAAAAAAATATTTGTCAGTATTTATCATGACTCACAGCTATGTCTGCGTTTATAATCAGACAACCTTCCTGTAATTACAGCATTAATTAAAGTACAAAACTTAAAAGGCACAGTATCATTAACACACTGACACAACCTACATCAACTTCATGAGACTTATATAAATCCAAATATGAGTGACAGGGTACATATTTTTTTTTTTCATGATATTATAAAGGTTGTTGTTCAAATCATTATTTAACACTACATTGCCAATGTCATATTCAATACAAATCATAACTTACTTTTTGTTAAATTTAGTTTGTAAAGAGAAAGAAGCTGAAAAACATTAGATCAGAAAAAAAAATAAAATCACAGTTTTCCCCTGGTTGAATGCTTTAAACTATCAGTATAAACCTTTCTCTACATATATTGCATATATATAATACATATTTCTCTTCTGTGATATATCTATAGTATTATAGTTGATTATTGTTCCTTCGATGACCACATCAGCTATCTAAATTTATATATTATGTGACTGAATTTTCTCCTCGCTGTGAGGAGGAGTCAATGCAAAACTCAGATGTCTTCCACCTCTACTTATCTGACTGCAGAGAGGATGACAGAGAACAGTGGACACACAGTTTAAGTTTTAATGATGGACTATAGGACAGGACTGCTGCTGTTAACTATCTGCTGGGCAGGTGAACAACTTCACTGATGTTGATTTGACATATTTTTATGTGTGCTGCCAACGTAACATATGACATGCATCTTTCTTGGTTTGACAGGTGTTGATGGTCAGACTCTGACAGAATCTGAACCAGTGGTTAAAAGGCCTGGAGAATCTCACAGATTGACCTGTACAGCCTCTGGATTCACATTCAGCAGCTACTGGATGGCCTGGGTCAGACAGGCTCCAGGAAAAGGACTGGAGTTGGTTGCTGGTATTTATGACAGTAGCAACATCTACTACTCTCAGTCAGTTCTAGGCCGGTTTATCATCTCCAGAGACAACAGCAGACAGCAGCTGTATCTGCAGATGAACAGTCTGAAGACTGAAGATTCTGCTGTTTATTATTGTGCTCGAGACTCACAGTGACACAGGAAGGACCAACGGCATACAAAAACCTCCAGTACTTATCTTTACTGGGCTTTTACTTTTGTTGTTGTTGTTTTGAAAACTGAAAGATTATTATTACCACCAAAATAAATCATTAATAACATAAAATGTTTTAATGATCAGTTCCTCACAAAACAGCCAAGGGCAGCACAATAATCTGAAAAATGTATCAAATAAATACTATATTTACACATGTCAGGCATATTAACCCTCATCTGGACATATCAGGAGTACTGACTGGGGTCCATGGGGAGCCAAGAATAAACTACTACAAGAGAGAGCCATAAAAATGTTAACTTTCTTTTAAAACATATAGTTGTCCCGTAAATGTCATCTGAAAAGAAACAGAAAATTATTATTTGGGGATTAAGTTTCTCTCTCCTCTGTCACTATAAGGAGACTCTCATATCTGCTTATCTCACTGATCTCAACTGACTGACACTCAAACCCTGGACTGAACTAGAGTTTTATACTCACACCCTTTGTGAGCTCGCTTCACCACAACACTAATAGAACATTTGAAGTGCTGGATCAGCAGTGACTGCAGCTTCATGTGTTCATTTATAGTTGTAGATCACCATTTCAAAGATGTTTCAAAATAAAGACTGAAGGAGCTGCTGTTTATTCTTGTGTTTGTTGAAAGTTGAATGAATAAGTGTTACTGCAATAAGACAAACATTCACTTCCTAAGTTCTTGAAGGAAAATGTCTTACTTCCACATGTTTCCTCTCTCAGCAGTAATCCACTTCACTGAGATGAGGATCAGTTTTGAAATAAAAGTGTATGAGACAACATATTCTTACTCTCTGTCTCTCAAAAATGGAAATGTGAAAACTGACAAACACACAGAAAAAGGAGAAAGACTGAAAAACATCTTTAATGTTGGTGTCTCTGTTTTAAACTCACTCTCTCGTCACAGTCAAACACTTTCTCACAGATTTAGTCTTTATGTATTAACACTGTATCTACACAATCATTGAAGTCAATATGAAGTTTTCTCTGCTGTTGCAGAGATACTCAGCGTATGAAAATATATCTATCACATGTTCCCTTTTTAAACCTGTAGAGGAAGGTCTATGCAAACTCTTCCTCTCTTATAAACACTCCATCAGCAAGAACACTGGGACAGATTTATATATTTACTGAAACACTCAGATCAGAGAGCACTGAACTACAGTGTTTATCTCAGAATGGAAAATACAATGATCTGGAGTTTATTATTTGTCGTTACTATTCAGGGTGAGAGAATCAGTTCAGCTTTACATCTTTTCTAAATGTCTAACCGGTGATTAACAGATTCATTGGATAATGATCACAATTTGTTTTCTTAGAGGAGTTTGGAGTGAGATCAAACTGGACCAGACTCCCTCTGAGGTGAAAATACCTGGAGAGACAGTGAAGATGTCATGTATCATATCTGGTTATAGCATGACAAGCGGCTATTTTGACTGGATTCGACAGAGGCCAGGGAAAGCTCTGGAGTGGATCGGTGACATGAATTCAGGTTCAAACTCTCCTACCTATTCCAGCTCCTTTCAAAGTCGTTTCATCATGACTGAAGATGTGTCCAGCAGCACTCAGTACCTCGAGGTCAACAGCCTGACAGCAGAAGATTCTGCTGTTTACTTCTGTGCTCGAAGAGACACAGTGACTGAAGACAGTGGAGCAGCTGCACAAAAACCTCCACAGACAACAAACAGCAGTGTGATCTTAATATCTGGGTTTTCTCCCCACCACCTGCAAAAGCACTATCATATATCCACATTATATTTCTATATAGTACTGTAAACTCATGAATAAATAATTATTTTTATGATGTTAAATCATTCACAATAATAGAATCCCTTCAAAGGGTTATTCATACTAAATGACCTATGTCACATTCACAAGTACAAAACATAAATTTTGTGAATTTAATTTGAAAAGACTTACATCCTCATGTGCTGCCCAATATGCTTAAAGGGAATACTGAGAAGCCTTAATCCCAAGATGAATTATACGTTTTGTAATTTCACACATACATTGTTTGTAAGTGTGACAGATTTCTGAATTCAATTTTTTAAGCTCCATCAAAAGAAATGTGGGAAATATGTTTGTGGTTTTCATATATAGATAATTTACAGCAAAACACGTCTGGACATTTGGATTGAACATTGATTCTCCAGTTTAACCAAACAAAAAGCCAAGTCCAACCCTGTTCTCTCCTCCCTGTGAGGAGGAGTTAATGCAAAACTCAGATGTCTTCCACCTCTACTTATCTGACTGCAGAGAGGATGACAGAGAACAGTGGACACACAGTTTAACATGATGGACTATAGGACAGGACTGCTGCTGTTAACTATCTGATGGGCAGGTGAACATTTTCACTGATGTTGATTAATATATATAGTTGTGTACACACTACAGTCATGTGATTTTTTCTTACAGATATTGATGGTCAGACTCTGACAGAATCTGAACCAGTGGTTAAAAGGCCTGGAGAATCTCACAGATTGACTTGTACAACCTCTGGATTCACATTCAGTGACTACGGGATGCACTGGGTCAGACAGGCTCCTGGAAAAGGACTGGAGTGGATTTCTTATATCAGCAGTGGCAGTGGTAGCAGCAAATACTACTCTCAGTCAGTTCAAGGCCAGTTTACCATCTCCAGAGACAACAGCAGACAGCAGGTGTATCTGCAGATGAACAGTCTGAAGACTGAAGATTCTGCTGTTTATTATTGTGCTCGACAGCCACAATGACACAGGAATCCTACAGTACTCATCTTTACTGACTGGTGGAGCCTTAGCATTTATAGTATTCATATTGTGTTTATTTTATTTTTTAGATCAATTGTTCTATATTCTACATTACATTTTATCTTAACATACTGTATGTTTTTGTGAATAATAATTATTGTCAATGCATTATACAAAGTCCAAAAAAACTGTTCCTCATATATTATTTCTAAATATCAAACGCATAAGAAACACAATAAAGGTCACTTGTTGATAAAAGACAGCACAACAATCTGCTGAAATATTACAAATACCAAACATTTCTAAAAATAAAGACACAATATAGTAACATATTGTGGAATATAAAGTCAGTGATGATATGAGAGTGAAAAATAATGTTGAGTTTCTGGTATAAAACCACTGGACGACAGTCAGTGTCAAGTTTCTCTCTCTTCTGTTTCTAAAAGGAGACCCTGCACTGTCTCACCTGATTAATGTCCTCAGGTTAAATAATTCAAAATGATACAACACACCACACAATGATACATTTACTGACTTATGACTGGATTTAAATTCACAATGCATGACCAATTAACAGTTTGATACAATAAAACAAGAAATACACTGTAGTTATAGGGATAAAAGGTAGCTACATATCTTCATGATCAGAAATAAACTTGTGCCTGTCATATGTTACAAATTCTTAAGATTTTGTTACATTTTTATTTAATTTGAAAATAATAATATTATAACAAACTAAGAACAAAAAAACTAAACAAACCACTGCATGCAATTTGATTCGACTTATTTCTGACACAGTCACACACAGATAAAGGTAAAATGTTGTGAAAATGTCAAAAATTAACTACAGTTATTTTCATCTCCGCTAAAATATTTCATTATTTTGTATGTTGTCACACAGGTTTCAGTTCCTGAGCAGCTGTTTTCCTCTTGAGGCTTCAACTTTCTCTGTATGTCTTCAAACATCTGCAAACACTGAAACAATTAAAACTCCTTTATGCAAACCAGCATCACGTTGCAGTTTCATACAATTTACATGATCCTGGCTGATGGGAGATAGTGACAGTAAAAACAATTTGTCAGGAAAACCGCTCACATCACATATAAAGTGTTAATCAATTGAAAACATGTAAACACACTGGCTTATCGAAAGCAACATTCTCGGTGGTTGAAAAGTCAACAGTTCTTCTTTTGGGAAAGAACTTGAGTGGATTGGAAGCAGAGATGGATCCACAATATATTACAAAGATTCACTGAAGAACAAGTTCAGTATCACCTTAGACTCTTCCAGTAACACAGTGACTCTAAACGGACAGAATGTGCAGCCTGAAGACTCTGCTGTGTATTACTGTGCCATGAGCGAGTTTTTATTTTTATTTTATCTCATTTGATAAAATGTTATTCTCAAGATACTCAAGATGAGAAGACTCTCTTAATTTTAATTTAATATTCCACATAATTTACAGTCACTATTGCCCTTTTTAGTAACAGAGAAGAGAGAAACTCAGTAACAAACATTTTCTGGGATTTTTGGGCAAAAACTCTGTCTTGTCAGACCCCAAAAGCTCTCATTGCAACTGGCAACTTGAACTGCCAGCTCATTGGCCATTCCTGGCCTTTCATTCCCCCTCCCTCTGCCCTCTGACATGACAAAATAAAATCCAGACCACAAGATAGAGAGAGAGAGCCACAAGTACACAAACCATCAGTAGACTTGAACTAAATCCCCTGAGCCTGAACACTAGTAACATGAAGCCACCAGAGGAGGAGCCCTCAGACCACTAATGATTTCAACACCAGTTCACTGTTAGAGTAAAGACAGAAACCTTTAATTAACTGTAAAGGGGACACATGAGTAACTTAATCAGTAGTCTTCTGCCAACTTCATGGTAATGTTATTCCACACTGTGAGGAGGAGTCAATGCAAAACTCAGATGTCTTCCACCTCTACTTATCTGACTGCAGAGAGGATGACAGAGAACAGTGGACACACAGTTTAACATGATGGACTATAGGACAGGACTGCTGCTGTTAACTATCTGCTGGGCAGGTGAACATCTTCACTGATCTTTGGTTGACATATTTTTACGTGTGCCAGTGTAACACATGACATGCATATCTTTCTTCTTTTGACAGGTGTTGATGGTCAGACTCTGACAGAATCTGAACCAGTGGTTAAAAGGCCTGGAGAATCTCACAGATTGACCTGTACAGCCTCTGGATTCACTTTAAGCAGCTATCATATGAACTGGGTCAGACAGACTCCTGGAAAAGGACTGGAGTGGATTGCTTTTATCAGCACTGGCAGTGGTAGCATCTACTACTCTCAGTCAGTTCAAGGCCGGTTTACCATCTCCAGAGACAACAGCAGACAGCAGGTGTATCTGCAGATGAACAGTCTGAAGACTGAAGATTCTGCTGTTTATTATTGTGCTCGAGACTCACAGTGACTGAAGTTGGTTGAGCAGCTGTACAAAATCCTACAGCACTCATCTTTACTTTACAATACATTAAAAAACTAACAAATGATAAATTATACTAAATGAAACTCTAACAGAGAGTCTGTAAATGAGCCCCTCCCTCCACATGATATCCTGATGCAAATCTTCATTCTGTGCAGTGTACTTCTGTCCTGCTGACTGTTCTTGTCCTTTGTGTGGAGCATCAGAGGTCACATCTCCAGCCTCAGGATGATGAACACACTCACTCTTCTGCTGGTTGCTCTCTCTCTGCCCTGTGAGTTCTCCTGCTTCTTGCTGTTTTATCTTTTATCAGACAACATGGACTGATGGTCAGTCAGTGATACCAGAAAACTTCCCAGATGACTGTCTCACTTTCTTCTGTGGTTCCTCTCTCCTTTAATCTCATCAGGTTGTACAGGTCAGAGTATGGAGTCCATTCCTTCCAGTTCAGTAGTGAAAAAGCCTGGAGAGACTGTCAGTCTGTCCTGCAGGGGATCTGGCTTCATATTTAGCTGCTGTGTTATGAGCTGGATCAGACAACCTGCAGGAAAAGGACTGGAATGGATAGGGAGAGGCCTCTCTGATGCCAGTAGTAACACATATGCCAGCAGTGTGCGAGGACGTGTAGAAATCAGTAGAGATGACAGCAACAGCATGGTGTATCTGAGACTGTCCAACTTAAAGCCAGAGGACTATGCTGTGTATTACTGTGCCAGAGACTCACAGTGGTTAAAGGAAGCAGAGAGGCTTTACAAAAACTCCACAGAACATTTGTTTACAAAGACCAACAGGTGGCAGCAGAAGATATAAAGTCAGATAACTCAAAGTGGAGAGTCTAACAAACACATACACACTATGAAAACAACAGCTGATGTTGTGGTTTGTGACTTCCTGTTTCTCAGTGTTACATTTAATATATTCCTTTCTACAGTAATGATGGTTAATAATGTTCTCATTATTAATTGTTAACAGCATCTGTTGAGAATATATTAATGCATGATATATCCAGTATATGGATGTACTACTACAGTTTTTCTCGATTGTTTACACACATTTTCTGAAAGCATGCCTCATACTCTCAAAACTCTACACACAAATCAAAAAACACAGACACAATGGGCAAAACCCCTCAATTCTCCTGCAAAATGAAACTTTACATTCAAAACAATATTATTTCTTCTCAAAATGGTATTTAGTTTTCAAATGACACACACAAACCATCATATGAATAGACATTTATAAGAACCAGTTGAACACTGATGTGCTCAATGTAAAACACTTATGATGAATGGAAAACACTTCTTCTCCATTCATCATAATGACTAAGGCCTTTTTTCGGTTCAGTGTTACACTTACTACAGACAGTATATGTCACAAAGTCACCAGGAGAGACCTTTTTTTGTGTTTTGCACAGCATTAATTTATTCTTAATTGTGTGTGTGTGTGTGTGTGTGTGTGTGTGTGTGTGTGTGTGTGTGTGTGTGTGTGTGTGTGAGAATCACTGTTTTGAAGTAATTGGTAGAGCCCAATCAAGATAAAAGAAAAGAAAATAGTATTCATAGTATATATTTTGTTATTGTTAATTTTTTCATATTTATTTTATATATATTGTTCTATATTTAAAATGTTATGTAACAATTTTTTTTTTTAAATAAGACATTATACAAAGTTCTTAAAGTTGGTCCTTAGAAAATGTATTGATAATATATTAAAACCTATTAAACATTAAGAATATAAAAAACACAATAAAGATAACTTGTTATCTTACACTGGATATTTTGATAGTTGATACTTTTCTATCCTAAACAAAAGTCTTGTGTTAACTTCATTCAGCACAATTTGAACACTAAAGTTTGACTATAAGGTGTTCACCATCAGCAGTGACTGCAGCTCCATCTGTTAGCGTCGGCTCATCTCAGCAGACAGGAAGTAGATCTCGAGATGAACAGCAGGAAGCCTGAAGGAGCTGCTGTGTGTTCTTGTGCTTGTGAGACTGATTGAAGATGGATGAACAACTAATCCTGCAGTAACAAACATTTCCTGGGATTTTTTGAGATACTCTGAACCTAAAATGATACACATTTACTGATGTATGATAGCATTTTACATTGTTTCACGAGAAATAGTTTGATGGAAAAGAAAAGGGAAATACAAATATAATTGCCCATAATTAATTGGGATAAAAGGTAACTACTCCCTGTAGGCAGGAATCAACGTGTGGTACAGTTTCATGTATGTGCAATGTGGATTTGAATGAATATGTTTTCCATCATCCATGACTCATGTTAATATTCATATTGAGAATAATTATCCTGGTTATTGTTTGTAATTATAGAAAAAATTATCAAATGTTTTAATAGTAAAGATTTAGACAGTAATAGTTTATACTAATAGCAGAGTTTACAGTTGTTTAATTTCTGTAACTCTAAATGTAAAGTTTCATTTTAAAAATGTTAAAGTTGAGTGTGTAATGAAGTTAAAATATCATATGTAAAGCAGAGGTGATTTCCAGGCATGTTTTCACTCTGCAGATATAATAACAGTCAACAGACTCTTCTATTGGCTCCAGTTAGACCAACATTGATGCTTCATATGTTTGATTCTATGCAAACTCAGTGACCTTCCTTGTTACTCAGCTATAAAAACTTCCCATCAGGCTGTCAGTGGAGTTCACAGCACGTCAGTTTCAACATAAACCATGTTCTCTGCAGCTCTGCTGCTGCTGTTGGCAGCTGGATGTGAGTCTCTCTGGATTTGTCAAAGTCAACAGTTCTTCTTTTGCAGTATAACTTGATCATTTGTTACAAAACATTTTCTTTTTTAACAGGTGTGAAGTGTGAACAGTTGACACAGCCAGCCTCTGTGACTGTGCAGCCAGGCCAACGTCTGACCATCACCTGTCAGGTCTCTTATTCTGTTAGCGGCTGCTACACAGCTTGGATCAGACAGCCTGCAGGGAAAGGACTGGAGTGGATTGGAATGGAAGCTGTTGGATACACATCATATTACAAAGATTCACTGAAGAACAAGTTCAGTATCACCTTAGACTCTTCCAGTAACACAGTGACTCTAAACGGACAGAATGTGAAGCCTGAAGACTCTGCAGTGTATTACTGTGCCAGAGAGACACAATAACACAAACCATCAGTAGACCTGAACAAAAACCCCTCAGTGCCTGAACACACTGAGCCCTCAGACCACTAATGATTTCAACACCAGTTCACTGTTACAGTGAAGAGAGAAACAGACATGATAATTATTGAAAAAGTGAAAGGAATAAAACACGGTTCATTACTATATAGAAAAATAATATCATACATAGACCGTATTTTACAAATCAGAAATATAAATTATGGAATTAGTTACATGTTATTCCTGTATTTAATGCTTAATTAATATTCTCAAATGTATTCAGACTATTATTGATACCCAGGTTTTGTCAACCTGTTGCACAAATTATACTGAAACATGCAAGAGAGACTCTTGGAGGAATGACTAATGTACAGTAAACATTCATTCTGCAGTTTCACCAAACATCAA